CACACACACACACACTAGTACGGTTATACGGGTGTGCTATTTGTAACAGTGTGAGTGTGTGGGGGTGTTGCAAATGCAGCAGTGACATCCTTGGCAAACCCTCTCAGATATCGTGGCTTATGCTAGAAATTTCCCAGCAGCCTGCGAGCTGCGGCCTCCAGCTCTTGGCTCGCAATTCCAGCCAACCTCTTTACGCATTGTTAATTTTTTATGGCCAAAACGAAAATTTGCACTCAAGATTTATGTGGCGGTGGACAAAGTGCTCCAATTCCATACACCAAAGCAACAAAATTGGAGCTGGAACAGGAATAAGAGACCAAAAGGTAGAGGACTAAGTTCACTGAATTTGCTTCCTAGCTCTTGCTTTTGAAAAATCAGAGAAATATATTTCTGTTTTCGAAAAATATGTAAATATATATGTACATATCTATCCAATTTCTTATATGCCAACTATTTTCGGTAGCTAAATCATTCCTGATTTGTTACAGAGCGCCATTTAGAGTCCTAAAGCCTTTGGCACCGAATTTGAATTTAATTTTTTAGAAATGTTTGGACCGTGTTGTTTGCCTCTCGCTTGTCGCCCCACAATCACCGCAAAAGTGCTAAATTACCAAGGAAAAATATAGGGAAAGAGCATTTGCCAGAGCTTGCCAGCAACCAAATTCAATTAATACAGAATTCGTTGGCACTGAAGAAACCAGAAAATCAAAGATTTCCTCCGCCATATATTTGATCAAACTAACAGTTTGGTGACCACATGCCGGAGACTGACTGCTGGTTGGGGTTTCTTCCAACTCCGGTCAGCCCTGCAGCTCTATATCCCATCGATTAGCCCGAGCAGTGGACCACAAAAGTTTGTTTACCGGCAAGGATGGGAAATCCGTGGCAGTGGGAAAACTTTGCAACAATATTTATGTCGTCTATCGCATCGCATCGGACGCATTCATTTCATTTAGTTAGCATTTCCTAATGCATTTCTGACCCAAATAGTTGCAAACAATTTTTGGCTCCTGACGATTTTCGTTGGCCAAAACCTTGAGAAAGAATTGCTGGCCAGAATCAGCATAAAGTGACAATAATTTCCGTTCAAATATATGTACAATGCATGTGGTTGAATTCTCTTTAAAGCTTTATCAGGCTTTGGTCCGTATGATGCTGGATCCGCTCATCCAATCAATTTCTGTTTAAGGCTTCAGCTGTCAGAATGTGCAAAGTAATCCACAAAACGCATCGCTCAACTGGCTACCCTGCTAAATATTAGCCCGCTTCAACTTTATGCTCTGCAAAATTGAATTTACAGCGAATATTGATGGATTGCCAGAAGGATGTTGAGCCCTTGGTTAGTGGGTGACGTTGCTGGTTACGTTGGCTGCTGATTCAGTGTCCTGTCGTGTTTCTGACAGACCTTTTCAATTAGTAATTTTAATTATGTTGGCCATGGGCAAGGTTGTACTACAATTTATACCATTCGGGCAGAAGCAGCAGTAGCAAAACCTGGCACAAATGTGCAAAGTGCACAAAATTTTGTGCTCACAATGTTGCCTTTTGTTTGATTGTTTGTTTGCGGAAATTGAGCGCAGTATTCTGGCTCGGATGTGAGATGTTGGCCAACTTCTATTTGGGTCACACAAACAAACAAGCAAGCAAACAAATTGGTTGTGGCGATCCGATTGTAATGCTTACTTCTGCTCGTATATCAAAAACGAATTCAATTGAATGTCGCCTATTAGCATTTGATTTGCATATTGGCATGGCGTGGTATCAAATACAATATTTAATTTACACTATGCAGCCATTTAGCTTTAAATTGCCAATTTAATTTGTCATTCATCGATTAAACTGTGACACAAATGACAAGTGTTTAACAATATTGCTTTAAAATAATGGATTTTTGTTGTTTTTGTTTTTTTTATAAAGAAAATATACCACTTTCAATTTGCTTTAGACGAAAAATTCCAAAATAACACCCACAAAGTTCTGGTAAAATATTCTGTGGTCCATTTCCTAATGGGTTTCCTGTCTCTTAAGAGCAGCTTAAGTGGTTGCTCACATTTCGGATTTGTTTGCGACTTCTCCAATCGATTGCACATTTCAGCTAATAACGCATATGATGCTTTCTGAAAACTCTCAGTTTTATTCTTGTTTGCGCCAAGAGTTTTCCCAGCTCGGTTCGCAACATATTTGCACAAAATCCATTTCAATTCCCAGCCATTAGTGTCGCCGTTTAAAAGTGCCAGAAAAAAAGTTTTGTTTTCACGCTTTGGCATTAAAAGAAAACAGTTGGCCCAGAAATTCAAAGAAAAAATAACTGAAAAAAGTGGCAGCAAAGTTTTGCAGTTTTGTCTGCAGTGCCCCGAATGGCCCCTCTGCTCCTGGCTCCTGGCTCCGGCTTTTCTTTCTTTTTTTTTTGCGTAGCCATTTTTCAACTTTTGCTGTTTTTTGGTTTTCCTTTGTTTGTTTATTTGTTTGTTTGGTTGGCGGAGAAAAATTAAATGAAAATAACAGCAGTAATGAAATAGAAATAAGCGTACACTGACTCTGCCAATCGAACTGGTGTTCCATTCATGGCTATATGTATATACCAGTGTTGACAAACTTTTGCCATCAACTCGGGGCACATGTGACTCTGTGGCTGTGGTGATATATAATAAAAAATATATTCTTGATCAACTGAAAGTGAAACTTTATGCAGCGCTGACAAACTTTTTAACTGCTTGACAATTAGTCATAAAAGTATACTCTCATAGAATATCTTTTTGCAATGGCAAGGATAAGAGGCAAGGATTTTCAATTTGTTGATGTAATCCCAGAGATGGTTTTCTGCTACACTTTCGCTTTTTGTCTGTCTGCTAAAACATCCTGTGGGGCATTTGCTTTTAAGATTCTGAAACAAGAATCCTAATCTGTTCAAAGTTTTTGCCACATAAGTATGCAGCAGTTTTTGACTTTTGCATTCCGCCTAATCCCTCTGCGGACTCCGGAGTCCGGACTACGCAATGCTCTTTAATTTAATTAAAAATATCTCTTTTTCGTTTGGCTTCGTGTTTGCCAAAAAGTTTGCACTGCTCACTAAAAAAAAATATGACTAACGATGTGCAGGAGTGGTTGTGCCCGCCCACTAACCAGACCAGGCACGCCTACACTTCTAAGCCCTCTAAGCCAACTAGCCAGGAGACTGGGAGGAGCTATCCACGTGCCCGGCAGTGCCTTTTGTTGCTGCTGTTACCACTGTGGGTCATATGGGTCAAGTGGTTGGTCAAGTGAGTGGGTAAGGACTGGGAGCCATAGCTGGGAATAGAACTCAAGCAGAGGATGGTCATGAAGCTGTGACTGGGCCTGAAGCTGGGAGCTGTACAACAGTAGCTGGGGGTTGCGGTCTCTCTTGTCGTGGCATGGGTTAAGTGGTTTTTAATGAAAGTTAGCATCCGGTTTAATGCAACTTGTTGTTGCTAATAGGGTTATGGGTGAAGAGAAACCACGTGACTGGAGCCCGGAACTCAAATCGGAACCCAGACCCATCAAACAGCCGCAAAATGAAAGCTTCAGTCGCGAACTTTCACCCAGACAAAATTAAAAGTTAAGTTAAAGCTTGGCGCAAAATTAAAGGGGATTAGTCGGAGCTTAAAGGACACTTCTCATTAATTGTTTTTGGCTTTCGAGGTTGCCCGAGCTGCCATTGGATGAGCGCATAAATTTATTAAATTTATTGTACTCAATTTATGATCAAAGGGAAGGTCGCGTATTCTTTCCACGTCCTTTGCTTTCTGCATTTTAATATTTGTTTCATATTCTGTTTATTTTATTTGGTCTTTTTTTTTTTGTGGCATGGCACAGCCACAGTTTGTGTATCTTTTTCTTTTGTTACTTTCTGTAAGCTTTCATTTTGGCAGTGCGCACTTTTTTGCGGCACTTTTTCAGTTGATTTCCTGACCCCCATGCTTCCTGATCGGAATTCTGTATTTCCTGTACGTCCATTACGAATTTTAAATGCAGGTCTGCTTTGTTGTGGCACTGCCTTTTCTACCTTTTTGTATACAAATATTATGGTAACAGGCAGGGAAAAACAGGGAAAGGGCACAAAAATGCAACTTTGAAGTTTGGCATAAATGTTGCAAAATGTTTTCCATGATATTTGCTTAGGGGCTTTTTTATTTTTTAAATATTTATTTCTATGCAAAAATTGTTTGTAAAAGAAAATTGTTTTCTATGATTTCCAAGGTAATCCTATCAAACATACATAGATCGTTTACGGTACTATTATTGTTCTTATTTTAAACTAATTTGTCTGCATTTGGCATATAAAAACCTGTAAAGTGGTATAAAAGTATGGGAATTTTGCATATTGAACCGCAATCAACTTTGAGGCACAATCTGGCCATTAACACTCATAGCTCATAGCTCATAGATTATTATCTACGCTAGCAGTTTCTTAAGTGAAAAGGTACACCCTCTAATCCCAATGACCCTGAAACTTCTCTTTCTTACATCTCGTAGTCTAAATTAATTTATTTACATTTGGAACTTTCCCGAACATTTAATAAACCTAAACAGATTTTCATCTGTAACATTTGTCTTCCTTAGCCAGCCTTAGCCTCCCACTCCGCTGTGGCCAGGTGATTTCTGGTTATCCATTTCCCCGGATAGTAGGGAATTCCCAAATGATTTTGGGCCTGCTTAGCATGCCTGTCGCCTGGGCTCGACTCCCAGTGATTTTAATTAACATTTCTGATTCTGCGGCTTACCTCTGCCCCACCTCTGTCCGTGGCTTGTCTTTATTAGCACACCTGTGCAGAAGTTATACGCAGCTGGTATTCCTGTATTCCATGTCCCATTGGCATTTACTTTGTCTGTCTCTGGGCTGGAACTAATTGAATTGCTACTTGCTTAATTAAGTAGAGAGATAAGTTTGCTGCTGATTAAGATTTTGTCAACATTTAATTCATTAAATAAAACTTGATTAATGCACTTTAATCTCCATATATTGTATCTCTCCATTGCAGACAGACAGAGACAATTCGCATTCAGAGTTCAATCAGTTGAAGGTTCAATAAACGCAATACGAGAGGGTAAGCTCTGAAGCAAAATATTTGCATTATCAAAGATTGTTTTGACAGCATTCCCGGAGTTCTCTGACAGTTGCCGTTCCTTTGACAGCAGCATCCATTCATGCTATCTTTCTATTGCATTTGTCAACCATGGAGAATAATTCTCTCTCTCTCTCTGTATATCTCTGCAAATTTATTTAAGCATTTGCATTGGTATTTCTCATTCCGGTATTGAAACTTTTTCTGTACATATTTAAAGAAAATATTTTCTATATATTTCCAAATGTATTGACCCACAAAATGTTGCTGGCACTTGAAGGCCAGAGCTGCTCCTGGCAACTATTTCCTCCTGGCAGCAGCCGAATCAACGGCCAATCTAAACTTGTTTAACAATATGCTGACCATGGCCCAAAGGCGAAACTCGATATGCGAAAGAATGGGAGCAATGTGAAATGAAATCCAATATCAAAGCGCCAAATGACTGCCAGCTACGAGTACAACTCGGATACGGAAACGTATTTCGTTTGTGTGAGTGTGGAATGGATGGGATTATATAGTGTGTGTGTGTGTGTGTGTGTGTGTGTGTGCGTATCTATGTGTTCGACATCCTTAATCAAACACACGAGAAATCAAATTATGAGTACACACACACACACATAAAATGTAACGACATATATGCACATAAGGGTGCTGCAAAAGTATGGAACAGAATAGAGTTTTACTCCCTTTTTGTGTAACCCTGACATCATTACTGAAAATATTTTCGTTTGCTTGAAGAACTGTACATAAGCATAAGTACATAAGCATCAGAATTTCTTCATCGATGATTTATAATATTTTGAATAAAAAAAATTGATATTAATTTGTCAAAAGGTGATGAACATCATTCCACCTCTACATTTTTGAACTCGTCTGCGTCTCAAACTGATATACCCCCCAGCCGTCTTGGGTATCAATCAGCAGCCATAGTGCAGCAGCCCACACAGGCTTGGCAGACTGCCTGCTTGGCCTGGTAGCCGGCTGCCTAACTGATGAAGTTGATAATGATAAAGAGGTCAGATAAGAGACGCCTGAGAAATGCCTCGAAATGAATGGCTGAGTCTGAGGAAAAGGCGAAGGCGAAGGCGTAGCCGAAGACATGGCACAAAAACGCGAAGAAGGAGAAGGAAGAAGCAACATAAATTATGAAAAGAAAATTTCATGCATGTGCATAAGGAAACGGTGAATCGTATCCTTGGCACTGCTATCAGCTCGTCCTCGTCTTTCGTAATTAATTTGATTTCATTCATTCAAGTCGGGAAAATGCGAAAAGGACCAAAACAGGAAAAATTAAATAAATTGAAATGGCACACTACTTAAAGGAATTCCATGACTTCCTACTGCACAATCATAATTTTGCAGCCAGTAGCTGAAAAGCTTAAAGTAGCGGCTCTTGTGGCCTTCTGTGTGTCGCCAGAATTCTGGATGTTCTCACCCATTGAACCAACAGCTACCAACAGCTACAGCTTAACAGAAACAAAAGTCCTGCCGGCTCCGTTGTCCATTGTCCTCTGTGCTCCTCTCTACAAACCCGGGCGTGTCGACATTGGTAATAAAGCGCTCACTTGCATTTAGCCATGACGGTGTGAGTGGAAGTGGGAGAAAGAGGGGGAGTGTGAGTGCGAGTGCGAGTGTATGTCTGAGAGCCAGTTTATGTATGCATATGTGTGTGTGAGTGTATGCTCGAATGAGGTTAAGAGCTTAATGAGTGCTGACAAGGCAACCTGTAGTTGACATATGACATTTTTATGTGCCTCGAAGCCTTCCCAACAAGGGTTTCCTATTAATACACAACTCTGGGCCCTGAGCAGCAGCCCCTGCCGCCCTGCACAGCATCCTTCTTCCCAAGAAACAGACCCCAAGGTAAATGCTAAGGTTTCAACTTAATTAGTGCCATGAGTTAGCCTCGTTTTTATGATAGTTGTTCGGCGTGTTCTTTGGAGAGGTAAATGCGTAGAAAATGTGGCACAATTTTCGGTCATTTAACTTTGGTATTTTGGGTCTACTACTGAGAATGTGTAGGAGACAATAATTTGGCACAGTTATTTATATGCTAGTGTGTGTCAGGGATACCCCTTTGTTTGTGTGCACGGAGAAGGCTGAGAGAGGTGTTGATTAGGTGAAAATCAAATTGAAAGAAACTTTTGGGTATTTTATTGCTGTCAATCCACAAATGTGTATGCCAATGGACAAGGGTTGTAGGAAGAGAGGCATCAATGCCAACAATTTTCCTTTGCTGAATAAAATATGAATGCCATGCCACCACCACCACTCGTATCTTCGATTATATACTCGTACAGATACACGGGGGAAAAGCAAATATCAAAACTGAAGCACATTTATCTGTGGATATTTTAGTCTGCATGGATATTGCATTATATTTCACTCACTGATTGCAGGTACATATTTGTTTGTTTTAATAGATTTTATTTGCCCTTGATACCCGCCCACTCCCGCTTGACAATTAGTCGCAACAAGTCAACAAGTTATGTAGTTGACGTTGCAACGGGGACTAGCGGCATGTTGGCATAGTGGCTGGTGGCATGGCCAGAACAACATGTAAATACACCTACCAGCAGCTGCCTTCAATGCTCCTGCAGCTCCCTCCAGCTATGGCCACGATGAGTGACCACTGGACCATTTTGTAGTCAGCCACGTTGTTTGGCATTGTTGACCACTCGTGGCGATTGTTTATCTGACTCTGATGCTGCTGTCGCTTTAGTTGTAGTTGTCGTTGTCGTTGTAGTTGTCGCTGCTGTTGATATTGCAAGCTGATGACATTAATTGTTACGTTTTCCCTTTTGTTACCATTGTAGTTAATATCTGGTTGTTGTACTTTTAGTTGTGCTGCTCTTACTGTGACGATTATTTACTCAGTTGTGCTTTTAACGCCTGGCTGAATACAAGTTTTAGCTTACAATTTGGTGGACACAGTGGATTCGGTGGATGATGATCGTCATGTAGTAAATTTTCCGTTCCCTGACTCTCGTCAGCTCTTTGGCCATATCAATTTCTTTAGCACGCTCTTGATTTACTATTAGCCCGAGTTGGCAGCCCGCAGGCCACATTATTTTTAACGACTGAGAGGGGAGAGCCCTGCTCTCTTAGACAGTTTTAATTAAATTTTAATTAATTATTCATTCTGCAGTCGTTGGCCTCTGTGCGCTGGGTGGCCTCACTTCTGAGGCTTCATGTTCCGCTGCCAAAAATTTATAACCAAAAGTGTGTTGCATATTTTACAACTGGCTGTGCCACAAGGCTGATGAGACCTGAGTGGGTGTCGGTGGAAATATTTTTGGGGCCAAGGCTTACGCTAGTGTAGTGGATAAAGAAAGAGCAGAAACTTTTTACATCTTGAGGAGGTAGAAAAGGGTGTTCCTCAAGCAGTATAAGTCTTGAAGGCATTTGGTAAAGTAAAAAAAACTAAACTAAAATACATCTGTAAGAGTTTCTACACAAACATAAACCTGAAAGGTAAAATCTACGTAACTTTAAAATTTGGGACACGTATGAAAATCCATCACGCATAATTTTCTACCTGAAAACGAATGAAACTCGAAATTCGCTCGAAATTTTCATAAAATTAAATTTAGCAGAGATGTATATCTATTAAACTGAAAACATATTCTGAAAATTATAAAAAAAAACATTTATTCTTCAGTTAGGCAATTTCCGAACTTCTTTTATTCTTAATTTTCACTTGAATGGTTCTTTTGGACTAAATTAATTAACTTTAACAATTACATGGCATGCAGTGTCCACTAATTGAGTGCCAAATGTTCGGGTTCACAAGTCAATTACACGCACTGCACATCTCGCTGAACTTGAGCAAATCATTTGACAGACAAGCAGCAGAAGCACCAGCAACTACAACTACAGAAACAACGTGCGTGCAACATCAACAAGTTCATTATAAAAGTTAGCACAAAAGCAACGGCAGCAAAAAGCGCTCGACTGGAGCGAACTGGAGGGACTGAGGCTCAAGCGAACAGAACCCACAAATGTGACGCTTCACTAGAACTTTGCAAAATTGTTTTTTTTATTCCTTATGCATACACCCCACCCGCTATACTTTGCTGTCTGTTGTTCCTGGCATTTTACACACCTACGTGTGAGGGGAGGAACTTGGAAATAGAATAAACGGAAATGATGCTCATTTGTGTGCGACCGCAAAATGGAATGAAAACGGAGGTACAGGTCAAAGGAAGAATAAATGCTGTGATTAGCCAAGAGACAGCAAGGGGAATAACGAATAAACTAATAAATTAAAAGCCTTTGGATACGCTGGAAAAGTAATCACATGTGATTATATAAACGAGCATCTTTAAAACCAAGAGGCTGACAAAGCGAGATGCTTGCAAACACCTGAGAAAGGGTGCACAAATTAAGAAAAAGTAGGCGAATGTGAAACAATTTTTTGAACAGATAAATATCTATGAATGTAGATATTAAATGATAACCTGATAACTGTCTCACATCCTTTGAATCCTTTCTGACTAACGCATCAACATAAAGTAGCTATACTGTAGCGATACGAATATATATAAGAAATAAACTAAACTAAGGGTGTACACCAAACCCGACTGACTAAGGTTTGACTTCCCTTGACTAAATCATGAATTCACTCGCGTAAAAAGGAAATCATCCTCCAGTACGCCAACCCCCGAACGAAATCAGCTTCAATGGCCTTCTGTGAGGGTGTCAGTCGAAACCGGAAATGACGTTGCAATTGAATTGTGAGAAGTACAAGGGTCCAAATGCGAAGTAACACAGTGGAAACATTTCCCTTGCACATGCCATACGGATGTACGATATGTATATAAGCACTTGCATATATTCGTATTCCTTCATTCACATTTTGTTGCAGGTTAATGGCGCCAGCGAAGTGTGTCGATGTCCGAGGGGAAAGTGAATCCGTCAAAGGTTTGGGCTACATTTGCTCTTTGTTATGCACATGCATTGTTAACCAGGAACCAAGAGGGCCAGTGCTACCAGAAGCAGCAGTACCACTGGCTACCGCCAACCACAATCCACTCGCCCTTTTATTTCCCGGAAGTTTGTGGTGGGAAATTTCATTTATGCTGACACTTGACTTGCCCATTGCTCCTGCCCATATCTTTTCCTTTTATTTGGCCCTTTCCCTTGAGAGCAGTGTTTTTTCAGCTCTCTTTTTGGCCGGGCTTAATTTGCTGCAAATAAATAATGGAAACAGACGTTGAACCGTTGCCGGTTCGATTTGGCCTTGGCGGAAGGGGCCCTGGTGTCCAATGAAGTTTGTATTATGTTCGAGTTGTGCACTTTTTCCATTTCCTCTTTTGGGGCCGAGAACATTAGAGCGGAAACGTGTTGACTGAGCAGCGCACAGAAGGAGCAGCAGAAGTCACAGGATGTTGCCGGGGCACGGATCTGAGGGCCAACAGACATGGATGGCTTTTGTTGCCCGGCTGGATGGCTAGCTGCCCTACTCTACTCCTCCACTGATATGGACAGTGACTTGGTTCGGTTTGCTCTCCCCTTGTAAAAGTGACAATTTAATTGTTTTGTAATTGCCAAGACTTTGCAGCGAGCCCTGATTCATGGCGAAAATTGAATGTGATATATTCTGCTCTGCTGTGGCTTTGGGGTCAAATAGGGTTGAGTGACAGGCGGGAGGCGGTGACCCAAATAGTCAAATGTAACCCCCAAAGGTCAGCCTAACAATTGTTAGCCAAAGGCCACAGCAACTCATAAAAGTTGCAAGCGATTCTGCAATATTGATTTTGAATTTGCAATTGACTGCAGAACAGAGCGATACACAGATTAAATGTGACTGCACTGAATATGTATATCCCCATCCCCACACATGCGAATCCGTATGTTAATCGGAAGCTGAAATATTAAATATTTAAAAGGTGTCTATTTCGCTCAGTTCCGAACAAAATTAGCATCTGGAACGTGTCTCTGCACTTTAATTTACGTCGAAACGTATGCAACAGGCCATAAATCCGAATCGGAATATAGGTTAATGTGTTCTCCGGAGCCCTACTCTGCCTCCATCCTCCAGGGAGGCTGCACTCCCGGCTCCTGGCTGGCCATAAATCTCCTCCTGCGGGTATGCAAGTGCAACATTTATCTAGCCAACTTTTAGGCCCAACACGAACAGCCATTCGAGTGGATGTAGGCACACGCCTAAGTAGTACGTGGATCTGCAGTCGGGGCATCGAGGAGCAAACTTCTCTAAAGGATTGCACTGCGTGTAATTGCCTGGGAAGCTGGAACTTAGACTGAAATAATCCTACAGCAGCAGCATTAGGGGATATAGAGCCCCCATCCCCCGCGTCACACCTCTGGCACAAAAGTTTCCACAAATGAAGTTAGTAAAACTGATTAACTCTCGGGAGCTTAGCTTGATTCTCAGAAGCTGCCAGTCCCTGAATTCCGGCTGGTTGTTGCGGCATAATTGAATTTCCCCTGACGATGAGAAATATCTATAAAAATTATACTAAACCCGTCCCCCTCCACCCACTTAATGATAGTTTGTGTAACGGCGGCATTCGCTGCATAATATAATTTTAATGGAATATTTGCCGCTTTATGCAGCTGCATTAAAATCCAATTGCATTTTGTCAGACAACCTGACCTTGGCCAAGAGGGTGGGGCCGTTGCGTCGACATAAATCTTTCCAGCCAGCGACCAGCCACACCCCATGTTTACCTTCACTTTGGCTCTTGAAATATTTTCCCCGGCATCAGGGCTCACCCTCAACGCGTCAGTGTCGCGCTCCCGTCGCTTGTCACTTAGACGGTGTTTTAGTGCAAGCCATTTATTTAGACATACCAACGGGTGCACACACACCCATGGCATTCAGTATACGCCCACTTTTGGATAAGCAGACAGACTGCCTAGACAGACAGACAGACAGTCTGAGGGTCTGGCATTGTTGGTCGCTGGGCTAATTCTGCCATTGTCCATGATGAATGGCTGGCGGATTGCATTTATTTAGCTGCGAGTACATAGTTGAATGTTTGTCTGGGTTTATCTTCACAGAAGTTGTTGGCTGCAACGATCGATCTTCGTCATAAAATATCATCTAAGTTCTTACGCCTTCGGCACTTAGAATGGTCCTAGCCATGGTCTGTCCCAAAGAGCGTCAAGCACAAGCAGTTATGATGGTATCTGCTAGTATATTTTATTCATCTCTTCATATACTCATACGATTACATACTCACTCAACTAGTTATCCTTATACCCCACTTAAGCAAACATATTCATTCGCCATCTCATCTCGCACTGGAAAATACTTTCCTTTCATACATTTCTAACATTCTCAATGTCAATTGCCCTCTGGCACTTTAAACGCTAATGCTTACAAAAGGTTATTTTTATGTTAAGAGAAAGCGATGGAGTGGTTGAAAAGGTTAACATTTGCCATTGAATTTGACGTGTAGTCAAGGCGAGGCCACTCCTGGAGAGCGTGGCCTTTGCTTTTGCATATTAATTCCTAAGATCCTCTCAAACAGCACTTGAGTTGTGGCAAGTGCTGTACTCTACCACAAACTAATATGAATACTCACCCGCATGTGAATTAATATGAATTATGTATTATGAAGTGTTCTTTGACTAATTAAACTTAGGCTAACATTTGCGTAAAAACTTTATTAATTATGTTTCACTTAATTTCGTTACAGGAGCGAGTTACGAAAGCCAAGGTGAGTCTTGAGAAATAATTATGAATATAAAAGTTCTGTCTAGGGTCAATATATTTAGCAGATCATCAGATAAAAATACGGAACTAACTAATTAATTTCCATAGCCATAGTGGATAAAGATACATACAAATTTGTATTGCTTATTTAAATAATAATCCGGAACATATTTTACGGATTTTCTTTTTTGGAAATTCGTTTAATTAGTCATCAGATTGAATTTCTTGTTTATTCAGCCCAAAGAGCAATTAGTGCAAATAACCATAAGCTGCAAAGACTTTATTGCCCGCCCCACTTTCGGTGCAATTATTATCCAATTTATGAAATTGAACACACTTTTTGACGAGGCAATAAAATGGAACGTAAAATTCCATAAATGCCTGCTGCTCAGCATGGCTTCCATTTCTGGCAATAGGTAAAGTAAGATGGAGTCAATACGAAAGAAAAATTTCTAAAATCCATTTCTCTTTTTCTCTCCATATTTTATGCTTGATTAATCCTGTGGCTGTAAAAGGAAATAACGAAATTACTTTTGGGAAATAAACAGAAAACAAAAAGGTAGCACTTTCCGTTGGTTACTGGTACCTGGAAAAGAAGGGAAAATCAAATTAGAAAAATTTGCATTTAGTGGGTGAGTGAGTATGCAGAAAAGTAGGCAGAAAAAAGTTTTTCCTAAACGAATCCGCCTGGGAAAAACCTGATGTCGATTGAATGCCGGTGTGGATGTCGATGATGACGATGTTTTTTTATTTTTAGCATATTATTTTCTTTGGCTCACTAAATTAAAAAAGTTTCTTCGGCCTGACGACATGCGCTTATAATGAGCTTGTCATTCCGTCGATATGGATCAGATTGTCTCAAAAATGTCTATAATAAATGCCAATGACTTCTGGTATTTAGGAACCAGCAAATGCGAGTGCCATATCTGCGCAACAGTTTTTAATTGGCAATATTCCAGCAGCAGAAAGTTTCATACAACATTTTCTGTACTTGTCTGTAAAGTTTTCCAGCTCCATGTTTGATTAATGCGAAACTGCGTGGCAAATAATGAAAAATTACACTCTCCCACAAAACACACACACAGAAAAATACACTCCGTACTGTTTCAGACATAAAGCACTATAAACCGTTATACACACCCATACCAAACAACTAAACAACTCACACAGATACGATACACGCTGATGCGAATGCACACACTACACACCACCATAAAGAGTGCGGTGCATACTTTTGGGCGTTGTTAAATATAAAATTCTATGAATTTGTACGTACATCATTTCAAAATCGTAAAACTTGCCTGTGTTTCTGTCTGCTGCTGCGTATACGTAATGTTTTGTGAGTGTGTGCCGAGTGAGAGCTGTCATAAACAGGCTGAGAAAAGGAAAAAGGTACGCTCTGTGCGCCTTTTTTTTTATTATATTTTTATTTTTGTGTAAAGAGCACACTCCGGACTCTCTTAGAGACAGAGAGAGAGAGAGAGCCACCTCTTTTCGTAATTATAATGCCCTGGCAAAATGCTGATGATCATGAAAGTGCTGTTCATGGTTATTTGCCCAAGTTTATGACTGTGCAGAATGCACAAGATTTTATACGTGTATGCCATGTGCACAAATTAATAATCTTCACTCAGGCAAATTAAATTTAAAACGAAATTGCCTCTGGGCGGACCGAAACAAATTTGCTTAGCTTAAGCTGAAAATCCCTGAAGAAGCTGCAAATGAACACAACGTTGGCAAATAAAACTATTCTTCAATTGTATGCAATTTAGTTTACTCGTTTAGTGATTGAATAAATTCCCCGTAATCGTATAATTTGGGGCCATACTAAAAACAGAAAAAAAAAACACAGCCCTTGTGTCAAAGACTTTAGATACTCTTGGAATCTATTATATTCTATATCTGTATTTATCTGATATAATTGGTTCATTTTTTAATGTTTAGTGTAATTCCAGCATAAAGTTTTGACTGCTTGTAGAATTTGGAACCTTTTCTTCTCTCCGTAGCATACTCCACAGCGAAATCACAATACCCACCTGCAGGTGTATAAATAGAGTCGGAAACTACCAGGCAGTCGAATGGGATAATCAATATAGAGGTTAAACTGCACGTTGACATGTGACGACAACGTGCCAGCGACTAATGAATGCCAGAAACTACCCATACTTTCACTCCCTTACGTATTCACATTCACATCGCCCTCGGCCCCGACCGTTCTATCTGCCAGTGAACGATAGAGCTGGATCTGTGTGCCATGCAAAGTCATGCAAACGAATAAAAACGCTTTTATTGTAATCCGCAATGTCAAAATGCTGCAGCGGATGTTTAGTTTAATGCCATGTGGATGTGCGGACATGGAAAATACTCTTTGGGTCTGTGTATCCTTCTCTATTAGCCTACGATGGGATGATACGTATGAGTGTGTTTGTGGGAATCCCACCTGAGCGAATTTATCGCATGCCACGCAGTTGTTTTGGATATGACTCAACTTTGGTTGTATATTTTTGCCCCCCGGAACGCCCACAACTATAAAATGTCTCTACCACACACAAAGAAAAAAAGGTCCAAGGTTTAAGGTCTATTGATTATCCATTGATAAATGGTTGACATTTTTGCTCCCTTTTTGCTGGTTGAGCGTGACGCGCCACTCTCCAGGTTAAATAGTTTAAGAATGTCTGCCACATTAAAAAACAATTTCCGCTAAATCACTTCTAGAGAAGGAAGCTGTGGGAAGGAAGTAGGACGACGCAGACATGACTCGGAGGGAAATTCTTGTGGAGAAATTTCAGCACAAAAGAAAGTATGACAGTGAAAGTAAGCAACACGCCTTATGTAACAAATCAAGTGCCGGAGGGTTCATATTCTTATGCTGTGCGAATGCTTTATGTCAGGGAAAGGAGGAGAAAGGCAGAGCCTATTGATTTTCAGTGAGACTTGGAGGAACTTAAAGGAACTTATCTGGGAGTATCAGCTTAAATTAAAAAAAAATTATTCAAAATTTTGTGTAATTTATTATCAGAATAATTGTATATCAAAGGATTAGCAGCATATTTAGCAGCATCAGCTTAAATTGAGATACTTTTTCACAGGCTATTCAGCAAAGCCTGAATTTCTAGGATTTCAAGAGAGCAAAAAATAAGGAAAAGTATTTATAAAAATATATAAAAGCATAGTTTTTATCAATTTGATAATCAAAGGATTTACTTTCTATTTTAATACTACAGCAGGTCATTCAACTGTCTGCCAGTGCCGAAAACTAAAGCTTATCCCATAGATTATACGCGCCCTGCGGCAAGAACACAGCAGCATAAAAATCTCAAAGAAATATTAATAAAAGATGAGCGACATTAGTGTCTTGGTTTTGTTGCTTTGCAGCTTCCCTGCTTCTTTCTACCCATTACTGTGTTTTTTTTTTGACTGCTTTTTTTATTTTTTGTGAATGTCCAACCCAAAACCGTAAAAGTAAAGAACAAGAAAGACGAAAACATTTTTACTACTTCCTTTTGCTGTTGGCCAGCATCAGCGTCTAACCTCGAGCATTCTGTTGACCTTTTTTGAAGCTGCTCTGCTCTGGATTTTGGCCATTGGTTAGCTATGCTTTAAAGGGTCGACGAATGCAAAAAGAAAATGTCATAAATTTGTAACACTTTTGCTGCGGGGGGACATTGAGCCCCAGACGAGATGACGAGATGCTGAGACAGACGCCATGCTCGAGCTGCCTCGTCCCTGGGATGTGGCACAAAGGGATGTGGCGAACAACAAGAGGCAAAACTTGGCCTCTGGCAAACAATTTGTCACACATACATGGCACATAAATTATATATATACACACAAGTCCGTAGAAGACGGGACTTGGTCGGTTTTTGGGTTTCGGTTTTTGGTCTCAGCATCGGTTTCGGCTTAGGTTTCGCTTTCTCTGACTGTTTTTTGGTTTAGTTTGTTTTTTGAGCGAAAGCTTAGTTTGATTAATATATTTTTGAGAGCACAAACTTACTGACTTGTGTCTAATAAAATATGAATGCTAAAATATTGTGGGCCGGCAGGACAGCATCAAAGGCCAGACACAGGAGTACAGCCCTTTCCGATCTCTCTGGCCAAATTAGTCATGCGTATGGTATATGACCCAGTAATTTATGTCTGCGTTGATGTATGTGCCTCAAAGGCAGTGCCAGAACATAAACACATTTAACCTCAGCTGGCATTAGTAAGTTGGCCCATATGCTTCCTTCCCTACAAAATTTCCATAACGCTGGGGCATGGCATTCTCTTTGGTCTGCAGTGCGTATGCGTAATTTGATTTTTCGGAAGGAGCTCGCCCGCTGCTTCCTTCCTCTCGTTCGGGCTATGATTTTTATGCGTTTACACATTTGTCGCTGTTGGGCAAAGTTCTGGGACTCTTTTGGGTCGCCTTTTTGATTACATCTCAATCAATTGGTGGCAGTTTTATGTGTGCACATTTCGACATCTTTCGGCTTTTCAAATGTTCATTTTTACGAGGCCTGCGGTGATTCCCTCAGCCTCTCATGAAAATTTGTCAGCATTTCAATTTTTTCCTTCATTCCCTGACTCTTTTCTCCCTTTATATCTTTGTTTTGTTAGAAATATGAGCTCAGGGTTTACTTAAAAGTTTGTTTATATCGAGTTACAATTTTATTGTATTGTTCGAAGTTGACAAAAAATATTTAAAATTAAATTTGTAGTTTTTATCGTACTCCAAATACAACAAAAACTGTTTCCAGAAAATTGAATTTAAATCTCTTAAGACCAAATTAATACATATTGTCTGGCTTTAAAGATTGTGTTCAAGTTTTTCTGCTCTTCATCGTGAAAAACTTTTGTGGGATCTCTTTAAAAATTCCGTTTGAAATGCCGCCGTCATTTGGTTGCCAAAAAAATAAAAAGCAGAATAAACAAAACGGGGGCCCTGGGGCCAAGCGTCAGTCAGAATACAATTCAATTTTGTTTAGTAAAAAATATTCTTGCTCTGCTTGGGCCTGGCCTCGG